CAGTGTTCTAATATAGACAATGGGTCGTGTCTCATATTATTTGTTATATTTTTATTATTCATTATTTTCACTTGACTCGCATAAATAATTTTATTCGAAGAACATTTATACTGTATGCAGTTGTACTTCGCAGCACTTCACTTGCAATTTGCAATTTCTAGTATTTAACATATAAAACGTACAGTACCTGTTGTTTAGCTGTAATGCACAGCAAATTGAATTACTGTACCAATTAAAATGAATGCTTTTATATTGTTTTTACGTGCATTTTCGGTCTGACATTTTTTTCTAAACTGTAAACACAACACATTCTTCGCGGTCACGATGCGACTTGTTGTAAATATCAGGTCGCGCCTCCTAAACTCTGCCCTCTAATTGGTTAATTTTTTTCGTGGGGTCATGTGGCTGGGCAAAAATCCCATGTGCTTGGCTCTCATGACGTCAGATCGCCCAAAGTTTCATAGTGCGTGACAGCTTGCTGAATTTTTAATTAAACAAATTTATTAAAATAAATAAGAAAACCTTGTGGTTTTGTTTTAGAGTCAAATCTAAAATAAATCTAACAAATTTAAATTTCATTCTCTGCAAATTTCCTCCGTTTAGCAATGTTTTTGGGGAATGTGAGTGTAATTTACATGTAGACTGATATAAATGTAATGACATACCAAATCCGAATTAAACGTCTACTGAAAAAGAGCCGTCATAGAAACAATTGCTTTGAGTTCCTTTTTCATTTCAGGTTGATTACAATCGATTTTTAAGTATTCATAAGGCGAAAATGCACTTTATTATAAACAATGAAAGGCATAACTATCACTTTATCTAACATTTTACTGCTGTGTCATTTTAATTAATAGATAATCTCCAGCATGACAACGCTACTGGGACTATGCTCTGTACGAATGGTTCATTCACTGTATTTCGTCCGGAAATCTTTGCATTGTTTATTAACTTTTTGTCCCACATTGCATTGTGGGATGGATACATGACATGGATGTTTTCACTTCACAGTGCTCACACAGATGGAAATCAACTTCTCCTTGTCTCTGTAACATGCGGAGATGGTGATTTCCCTCTGTACGTCTAGCCATGGATTCCTCCATGGCCTAGCTACTGCGTGATGTTCATCTGTTCGCCTTCAATGACTGAGCCAGAGGCTGTTCGTAGCTGACATTAACATGACAATAAACAGAAAATAGCAATCTTGTTGACATTATCTATTATGTGAAATATTTTGTAAAGACATCGTTAAGAGGTGAATGAGTAAAACTTTAGGTATTTTGTTAGACTTTCATTGAAATTTTAACTGGTCAATGCGGACTTATTGGGATAATTAACAGGTCCACCATGCATTTTACTAGCCATTGGCAGCGGACCAGCGTTTTTTTCGAACCCTGGAACAGTGGAAGTGCATTTCTGGATAAAGAAAGAATAAATAAATATTGATAATTATGAATAATTTAACAATATTTTGATTAGAATTCTGGATTTGTAGACATTTGTATATAGTATTACGGTACCTGAATAGATTTTAATTAATTGAAATTAATCAATTACTGTATGTATATTAAATTAATTAATGTATATGTTTTTGATTTATTTTAAACTAAAGATACTATTTAATTTCACATTTTAATCACATTTATTACTTAATCAAATTCTTTAATGTTTATACTTTTGTTATGTATTTTGTGTATTTTGTATTTTTATATTTTACCACTTATGGCCTTGCACGGCCTTGATGAAAAACACCCTTGGGTGATCAAGTTTTTCCGTGTTTAAATAAAGTAATTATTATTATTATTATTATTATTATTATTTGTACATTTTGGTATCATTTTTCTGCATTTTTATGTTTACAATATACAGTAAAGATTCAGAAATAAATATTAACCTTGGAGAATTTAGCCTACCCAACATTTACAAGAATATTATTGGTGGGGCACTAGTGAAACCATAGCTTGGTGGCAAGATGTCTCTCTTCTAATTACTGGCTTCAAATCTTATTTAAACCACGATGACTAAAAAGACTGAAAACAGTTCACTCTACAAAAACTGAAAAACAGTTAAAAAATATCCCCTGATCTAAAATTTGATGAAAATTTTGGGGAAATACAAGCAGTTAAAATATTCACAAATCACAATATGAGAAAAAACATCACATAAGTGAGAGCCAGTAAAGACATTACTAGATAGAAATTCACAGTTCAATGACCTTTAGCCACAGAAGAATTTAGCCTAATCATGCACTCTGAATTGGATGTGAAATATTATATTTTCACAAAATAAATAAGAACCAATTATTAAGATGTATTCATTTTTTAATATATAACAATTACCTGAATAAATAATAATTTACAAACGTACCAGCATTTTGTTATTTCTCGGCCAGAATACCAGCAACTTCGTTTTGGAATAATAGATTAAGGATGTAATTCGATAAGTAACGTTGACAAAACACACTTGTTCACACAGTATTAATAATACCATCCTGTAGCACACCAGAGATTCTTTGATAAAAGGTCGAAGGTCCCTGAAAATAGGTCCGAGATCCCCTGCAAGGTTTCTCCCTCCCCACAATGGTTGAAGCAATCTTAAGAATAGGCATCTAGATCCCCAGAATGGCACTCTTATCTCACTCAAAATATTATTGGTCTGACAGGGGTTCCTGTACCTCTCTCAAATGTCACTGGTGCTGCCACTGCATGTACTGAATACTATAAAAAAATTCTTTTTTTTGACTCCATCATGTCATTATACCCAGTCCATTTTCCCCTTAATTTTTCAAAATAAAAAAAAAACAAAAATGGGAGAAAACAAAATTATATTCAAACTTAAGTCTTAGGCTTTGTCTACCCTATCAAATTTCATCAAAAAAGCATCACATAAATGTGATGGAAAATAAAGAGTTGAAACATGTTCAACTTTTTTTGGATACAATTTGATAGTTGTGATATGATTTTATCATACCCATATATGGGCACATCGCATTTTTTGTCAAATAAAATGTGCAGACAAAGCTTAAATACATCTCAATCTGTCAAAGTACTTCACTGGGCCCCTCTACATTATTTCGAATTCCTGGATAGATCCGAAATCATTTAATTTCACTTGCCACCAATTTTCATTATGTTAGTTCAGGACATTCAAACAATAGGTGGGTTTTCCTTTATTTGTTAAGCTACATAAGCCAGTGTGTACTACTAATAATAGCTAGTATTTCATAGCCCATCATGCCAAGAAGGCTGGCCGTGTGCTATTCGAATTATTACCCAGCCATTGAATCAAACCCCTAATCCCTTGATATTCAAACAAGGAATTTTACCAGTTAAAATCCTTGTTCAAACTATGGGTCGCGACCAATTATTTTGAAAAGTCGCTGAAAATTATATAAAATAAAATGTTTTTGTACAGTACTGCATGCTTGTCAATTTAAGTTATCTGATAGGATTTCCCATTATTTGTGAAAATGCAGGTGTTGATTTTTATTTGGTGTTCGGGACAGGCAAGTGGTAAATACTGTAGTAGCTTGTGAGACCTTAAAATCAGTGCATTCCAAAAGTTTTCAGGGCTTAATCCCGAGCAACAGTGGGCGCCATCAAATGGGCTGATTGTTAATTAAAGTATTATTTAAATGTTGCAATTAAAGTTGTTAGTGTTCTTTTATCTATGATTTTACATTCAGGAAGGCCTAGCCCACTGTCGTCTGACAAACGATTAGGCCGTCGGATCGAAAATTTTAAAAATATATAATTTACCTTTTGAAATAATTTTATTTTGATTGCCATTCCCTATTGGTCTAAAAGCACATTTTGGACCATACTAAGCCATAGAATTAGAAACTAACACCTAGATGAACCTTATCAAATGATTTATTTTTATTGCAGGTCTTTGACCGAGGCTTCGTCAGCCCTTTAGTTAGGACCCGTCCGTCGGACACGTCAGACCCCTTGTCGTCAAATTTCTGGCGCCAACGCTGGCTTCAGGCATGCTTCAATCGAGATATTGTGGGAGCACTATTAAATTGTGTTTTATATATTTTTTCTTGAAAATCGTCACATTTTTTTTAGAAAAATATACAAATTACAATGCTTCTTTCTGACATCAGAATGTCTGAACAGCGCGAAGTTTTTTGATTAAATGTTTATGAAAACTGATTTATTTGGGTTCGTATGTCATTTCAGTTATGCGCTATATTGTATGGTGTTGTTGTTTGACAACAGTATGTGTTCACATGAAATTCACATGTACAATAATTAATTCAAAAATATAGTAATGATCCAAATGTGTACACAGATATAGGGCCTAGGCCTAATCCAGCAAAACAATTATCAAAGCCAATGATAAATGTTGGTTAGATTCACCTCAATTATGCAAGGAAGTTCAAAAAGATGGTACTGCATGATGCCACATTTTGTCGTCGGATGTTTCATGGGAAAATTCTGATTAAAATTATAAGACTGGCCTTTAATTGTTTCAAAATATAAGAATTGACTCGGACATTCTGGCAATTTCTTATTGCAAAATAGTAGTACAGCTTGTTGTGCTCAAGCACGGAAACCCTGTGTATCAACCGGTGCTTATACAGTAATTATGCATCTTTTTTGTTGAAAAATGTACTTTGTAACTTTTTGTAAGTGGTTGAATCCTTTAAAAATGTTTTATAATTATGTGTTGTACAGTAGCTGTGAGAAGAACATTGAGGTAAAAAAATTAAGAATTAAAAGTTAGGTGCAAAAGTTCATTAGCACTAGCTTTGTCTACACTATCAAATTTTATGTGACAAAAAATGTGATGTGCCCATATATGGTACGATGACGTCATCACATCATCAAATTGTATCAAAAAAGTTAAACGTGTTCAATTTCTTTTTATGAAATTTAATAGTGTAGACAAAGCTTTCGAAAAATACACAAAAAAGATAGTCTTTCCACCGGATATACCGTTTTACCTAGTCTAGGCCCTACTAGCCTAGGCCTACGTGACTGCTCTGCTTCTACTAAGCTTTACACAGCAGTCCACCTAGCCTAGGCCCGAAGAGGCCAACATGTGTTTGTCTCGACTTTTTAAAATTAATTTATCAACTTAATAATAACTGTACACATAGGCCTATATAATAATTTATAGGTTACTTTCCACATACATACCTTTCCTAGAAAATATATCAAGTTGTTGAGATTGTGAATGAACAAGCCATATGTACACAAAATTTACGGTTGACTTCTTTTTCTTTGTCTTTGTCAATTTTTCGTATACATTTTTTTAAATGTATTTTCGGCACTCACTTGCACAGGACGACATACACCGCATCGACCTGCTGCAGCTGATTAATTATCAAAACGTCACACATGTGTATAATGAAAATAATGACAATGCTTATTTTGTTATAAGGCAAAAGTTGACTATTTATAATATAATATAAATATACTTAAACTTAAATAATAATATACTATGAAATAAAATTGTATTATATAGATTATACTTTAGACTGAAAGATTTAATTTCTATAATTTATTTTCATTGCTAGAAATAACTTGGAAGAGGTGGTTTATTGTTGCTGTCGCGACGAAAAAGCCAGTCACTGCTTGCCAGTGGTGTCCTTTTTTTTGTCGATGGTGTGTAGTTTTCGGTATTTTTATTTCCTTCCGGCCGTCCAATGCGTTTGGGTGAAATCTGTTGAACCTGGTGGCCTAGGCTTATATATTTAGTTAAATAAGCCGTTCTATTTCTGTACTAGGCCTAGCCTTTCGTAACGCAATTCAGCGTAGGCCCAGCTACTAGGCCAACTCTACTACTACTAGCCGCCCGCCGCGAGTGCCGTGAAACAAAGCCAACCGGGTTGATTGCTGCTCCGATCCCCGTTCCTTGCATGGCTTGATGAGTGACGTTATCTGCGTTTTGAGGAATGGAAGACAAAGATCAGTACCAAAACTTAAGCATTGGTCTAGACGTTGCAAATGGGGAGCAAGATCATTCTAATAATAATATTCAATTACCCGAGTCAGGTGAACATGATAATTATTGTCCGCCATTTGTTGACCCTGATTTAATTTGTCGTCAGCTAGAAAGTGTAAATTTAACAGAAGAAGAAACAGACATTTTATTGAAAGATGCTTTGCAACTGAACAGGATATTAAAAGCCCATTTATCGAAACAAGAAGGTTCAACGAAAAAGAGTCCTGGAATATCAATACCAGATGGAAAAAAGAAAAAATCTAGGAGTTCTAGTAGGCCTAGGCCTAGTAGTACTAGTAGTAGTATTAGTACGAATTCGTCAAGAGGAGATCTCCCTCCATTAGACACAAAGCGAGGACTGTCAGCTGCACAGATGAGGATGCGACAACCACAGAAGATGCAACAAAGAAGTACCTCTGCGAGCAAAAACATGGAAAAACAGTCCCCGCAAAGTTCTGAGGTAATTGAATAGACATAGATTACCAATTGAGCCTTATGGGTTAGAAGGAAATATTAATTTTTTTTTAGAAACCTTTTAAAGATTTAAGCCCATGAATTGAGAATAATATAATAAAATAATAATAACTTAAAACTCCATTTAATAAAAAGATAATAATATATATACTGTAATATTGTAATGTTTTTAATTTTTTTTAGGCAAGTAAAGCAACTGGATCCAAGACAGCATCTTCCAAAAAAACTAGACGAAGCAAATCAAGTGAATCAAACCTGAAAGAGTGGAGTGATAGGTGGTGAAATATTAACACAAAGAAATATTATTCTGTCCTTTTGAACTCATCTATAGAGTATTGATATCTATTGGAAATATACAGTAATATTGTATTTTATAAATATACATAGGGCAATATATAATAGTGTATTATTGGGTTTTTTGTCAGAGAATATTTTAAGACTTACTGTATGCTATGAAATATCATTGCAACATGTAAGAAACCATGTTTTAGTTTATTTAGTCACAAAACTTACTTTAAAATTTAAGTAAAATTATTTTTTATATACAATGTCTGGTAATAATAGTCAGTTTCTTGTACATTACATCTACTGTAGGCTACTAAAATACTTTACGCTACTGTTAGTACTGTGCTGTCAACACACTTCCAGCACTTTATAAATACTGTACAGTAGGTGTTCTGTACTTTATATTTTACGTAAGTTTAATTCATTCATTTCATTCAATAATTTTTTTATTTCAAACACAACAGCAAGGTAAAAATACAATGTAAAAAAAATCAAGAAATTTTAATCGTATTAAATCGAAAAGTTTTAATCATACTAATAGTCACACATGCTTCATACATAGGCCTACTACTTGGAGTGGAGTTATAGCCAGCTTACTGTACCTTCTCCTGGGGTGGCGCCAGTGCGGGCCATGGCACCTTGGGGAGTAACCCCGTCCCACCCCCCTGTTGGGGAGAAAAAACCACAATTCAATTCATCAGGGGAGAAAAAGAAAATGTATTTTCTACATATAGTATTAGTAAACTCTAAAATTGATTAAATAAGCACTTGAAACCTCTAAATTGCTTTTTCGGGGATTTTTCCCCTTCAACCACTTTTAAATTATTTTGAGTGAGCGACGCCCGACCACGCCCACTTTGCTCTTTTTGGTGACATGCAGCCCCTGTTGGGGACCTCGGATCTCCCGTCGGGCAAATCATGGCGCCATCCCTGTTTCTGTCGCAGTGTTGCATGATTTTTTTCTTATGACCAAAACAACTCCCTAAACCTCGAATTGTATTGTTGTGTATTATTTCTTGCAAAAAAGATGGTTGTCACCTACAAGTAGGACAGTTATATACGCTATTGAGAGTCTTGGGTGCATGTGTGTGCATTGCATAATACTAATACTCAGGGTCATCCAAGTGCATATCTAGGGGTGTGCCAGGGTTGGGGCGCACCCAAGACCCCAAAAAAGTTGTGCTCCCAGTTTCTCCTTCCCTTCCTCCCACCATGAAAATGTTCAAGCAAGAAAAGCACGCTCAAGATGATAAAAATCATCTCATATCACCTGTTTTGAGAGCTAGCACCCTTTCAATTACTCATCGAATCCCCTCCTTTCTCCTAATACTGAATGCCATCGGGTTCACAAGAAATCACAATGTACAGTAGCTAGTAGAACTCATAAATATAAGCATTTTTATTGATGAATGAATGTGTGCTATATTCGATGCCAGTAGCTAATAAACTTGAAGAAGATGTGTATAAGAGACAGGTATTAGTACGAATTCGTCAAGAGGAGATCTCCCTCCATTAGACACAAAGCGAGGACTGTCAGCTGCACAGATGAGGATGCGACAACCACAGAAGATGCAACAAAGAAGTACCTCTGCGAGCAAAAACATGGAAAAACAGTCCCCGCAAAGTTCTGAGGTAATTGAATAGACATAGATTACCAATTGAGCCTTATGGGTTAGAAGGAAATATTAATTTTTTTTTAGAAACCTTTTAAAGATTTAAGCCCATGAATTGAGAATAATATAATAAAATAATAATAACTTAAAACTCCATTTAATAAAAAGATAGGTATTTTTCTATAATATTGTAATGTTTTTAATTTTTTTTAGGCAAGTAAAGCAACTGGATCCAAGACAGCATCTTCCAAAAAAACTAGACGAAGCAAATCAAGTGAATCAAACCTGAAAGAGTGGAGTGATAGGTGGTGAAATATTAACACAAAGAAATATTATTCTGTCCTTTTGAACTCATCTATAGAG